AATAAATTCATTATGTAACCATAACGATCGCATACCGAATAAGTTTCACTATTGAAATAGAGATATTCTGATATGCAGCTATAATACTATTAATACTACCAATAAAAATTTATGAAGTATTAAAGAGAAGGGCCTGATATAGTGACAACTGTGACGATTCTAAAGTATATCACCATATAGATATAAAGGATATAGCTTAGAGGATTTAGCTCTATTGAATTTTCATGATGTGCAGTCGAGACTGCAGACAAATGATAACTGATGCCCAGACATTTCCGGCCTCATTTGGGTCGAAAATTGAAGTCTTTAATATGTAACGAGATACCACGTACTGAGCAAACATATAAAGTTAAAAACTCTTTGAAGGAATAAAAGAGATTTTCAACTTCATTAACCATCCATGATAGTTAAGGACAGTGTGACGACACGTTTCATTTAAAAAGCAAGAGTGAAGAATCATAAATGAATTAAAGCCATGGATTATGAACTTCTTCAAGATAAACTCATATCTAAGATAAACTCAATTATTCGACTTCACTTAATTAATTACCTGTCTCTATGAAACTATTTTAGAAGTTTAATAGAATTAAGAGAGTTACAGCTTTCTTCTTTAAAGTTTTTAAAATTTATAACACATTTTCAAAGAAGTTTCGAGCAATAATTATCATATAATATATATATATATATATATATATATATTGTAATTAATATTATACGTAATGTAACGCAATAATGAGATATTTTTAAATCCAATCTCTGTCTCTCTCTCCCTCTGTCTCTTTCTTTCTTAGAAAGAAAGTATATATTCAATACGAAATGTTCGAATTTCAGCCGATATCGATAAATATGTACGCAACGTAATGTGTGCAAATGCGAGGTCTTATTTTGAAGTCTCAAAATGGCTGGAGTTAATTAGCCTATTCCCGTTCGTCTCATAGTTATTCCGGGTGAAAAGTCTCTGACCGAGATAGCCGGGTGCGTGTTTGTTTCTTTCCGTTCGTTAATGCCAGCGTATAATGACCACGTCCGTCGAAGCAGTCGTCGATTAATTTCGACCTTAGGACAAGATTTCCCGGATACATATTGCGCGCAACGATGCATCGTTAATGATAGCTATAAAAAAAACAATAAATGTCTTTGCGTATCGAATAAATTTTTAACAGTTTCTAATAATATATCGTTGTTTATGACATTTTCTAAACAATATACATATATAATAACGTGAAAGAAATTTAAAATGTATAAAAATGTTATAACTCACAATATGTATCTTTTTAAAAGCTTTTAAATAGTTATTCTTTGACATTTCATACATATATACTTATATATTTGCCAAATTTAAAAAAACTTTTTCGTTTACATATTGCAGAGTAGATAATAGGGAGCTTTTGCAATAACGTGAATCCAGATACGGCGAACGCTATAGTCACGTTATCCTTTTCTTAATTAGTTGTTAAAAAGAAAATAATCCGATCTTAGCGTTCACCCTATCTGGATAAATGGTATTGCAAAAAACTCCCTAATAATATTTGAAATTAACGTTCTTGAACTGTGATAGTGGCGTGTGTTCTTTAAAAGTTTAGGGGAATATAAGAAATCTGAAAATCTCGAACGATAAAAAGATAATTCTCATATAAACACTGATGAAATTTTACGCGAATCCAAATTTGATTTGGGGATATCCTCTTAGAGACGTTCAGAGAATGAAATCCTAAACGCCCCATAAGAAGTGTGGTAATTACTTTTAGATTCTCCTCTTTTAGTTATGAAAATAAATCTGTCCTTCTCGCACTCGTGAGAGTGCGATTGCGTTTCCCGGTAAGCCTTTGTGGTGTTAATGACGAACACCACGAAGAGAAATTGCACCGGGACATCTTTACGATCGAAACCCCGGTGCGCGGCGCTGAAGATCAACGACACCGAACGAACAACGGACACGGACGGGCCGCACACATTACGAGATTTAATTAAAGTGCCTGATGTATTTATCAACCCTCTTTCTTGGAAGCAATACAATCCGCTTAAGAAAATTCGTTCCGCGCGTTTCCTTGGCGAGGCCAAACGTGGCGAAATCAAGGGTGATTCACGTAGGACGTGCCAATACAAAGTCTCGAAAGGGTAAGACGACTATTTGACTACGTATCTTCGCGAAACGTCGACCGGTACCATTTGAAATTGCTGCAAGGAGTAGTGCTAAAACACGACGACGCTAAAAATGTTAACGAGCTCAAACGAGTTTACATATTTTTGCGGTCACACGAGAACGAGTGAGGTAGACGGGTTAGTGTTTTACATAACGATTTATGAGCCAATATACCCATCAATTTACAAGCACAGAATCTTCGGTTGTGTTTGCGCTTGCGCTAGCCTTGTTAGTTCCACTCACGGGAGCAAAAAGCCGCGACGGACCCTTCACTCTCGCGTGAAATTTACGGCGCGGCGACGACGACGACGACGACGACGACGACGACGATGCTCGCGCTAAATTAAAAACAGTATTTTTGCCGCGGCTCGACTCGGCTACGGTAGCAAAGTACAGGTTGCGAAGCTAGTCCTTCCCCGGTGGTGATTACGATGAAGAAAGAGGAAGTGAACGTCGCGCGGAGGAGGGCCACGTTTCCCCGATTGCCGCCTAGCCAGGACGACAGGCATACCTCTCTTGCACTGGGGAGGTATTACATAACTATAAATTTTAATTGAATCCGCGGACCGTGTGGCTCTCCTCCCTCCGGTGATCATCTTCTGGCAATAAACGTAACGCAGGACGTATATACCCGCGTGCGAGGGATGCGCGAGGGGAGTACAGAGAGAGGAAAGAGGAATTAACAACTAGTTTTCACTCACCATGTAGCTGCGCGAGCGACTGCAACGTGTTGGCGGTGTTGCAGTTTATGAATCCTGAAACAGAAATAGAAAATATGCCGTTAGAAGGGAAATACTTACATACATTGTTGATATCAATGTTATTTGGCTGTATTTGAGAAAAAAATTGCGATTCGGGGGAGAGGTAAAAAAGTGTGTTAAAATATAAAAATATTTTGAAGCTTTTGCCAAGACGATCAATAAAGAATTGAAGATAAAAAACGAGGTTACTAAAATTACTGTTATACAGCCAGAGTATTCTGTAATACTGATTTATACAGAGCTTATAAATTTACAAAATGAAGTGATATATAATACCACTTGTAAAACGCACGTAACTCTGCATTACGCTGTGTAATAGTAAAAGCAATTGGAAACTAAAATTTACTGCAAATTGATTAATTAATTTAGAAATTGTATAGAGTACAGCGCGTAATTGTGTATATTACACGTCGCGTAATTAAACTGTACACAAACGTATAGGCGAAACTATTTGAAAATTTATTGAGAATGGATTAATTAATTTCCGTCTATCGGAAATATTATTATCCCGGGACAAAAACTAATATTCTGGAATAAACCGATTCGATCTCTCTCTCTCTCACTGTCCCCTTAATAGCCCGTTATTCTTTCACTTCTGACATTAAGGAAAAATATATGAATGCGTATTTATATCGTCAAATGAAAAGTGTTACAGAGCATGTAGTCTTCGCTTCTAAAACAATGTCGTGTTAAATTTCACGCGCGTACGGGCACATGTATGAGCGCGAAACATCGTGATCTCAACATCGGTAGAACCGTATATACGCCTCAAACATTCCCATGACATAAGATAACCTCTGAACTTAAAGCCCTCGGTTCGACCGGTCGCGGTCGGGTCCCAACCCGCGCGAACGTCCATGATAGAACATTGTGATTTAAGAATGTCGAAATGCGCGTCGCACTATCGTATTTCCACCTTCGACGACCTTCCACTTTCTTCACTGGCACGGCGCGACGCCTCGCTTCCTTTATTTCTTCCGCACTTATTGCGCAATACTTTAGCCTTTAATTTTAATAAGATTTTGTATTCCCTTCGAATCGAGGGAGAGCACGACTCAACGGGCGATGACTTTCACGGAAATTAGTGCAAACTTATCCATTTGCAAGATCGACATCGCAAGTGTTGTCAAACGACTTTGTCAGATACGCTGGTTATCTGGTTATCAAATAGAGAATTTTCGCATGTATACAGAAAGAACGGTTTTCAAGTATCTAAAGACATCTTTCATCAATCTTTGGTTAAGTTAATCGACGATTCGCTTTCAGTATTTTTATCAATGTAGATTAACTTTGATGTCGGTTTAATTTAGTCTTATCTTTATTCTTTTCTAAGTCTTAGAAAAAGATGAAGAGTTGGTTGAACCGAGATTAAAATTAAACTACATTGGCAGAAACGAACTTGACTCATAGACGTAGCAACAGTAATTTAATGTATCAGAAGATTTTCTTTTTCAAAGGCAAACCGTGTTTAATTCTCACATTGATAATATCAATCATAATGATTGAATTAATCGTCGATTGATGTTACTCGCATTGATAAAAAAAGTAAATAATGAAAATATTTAGCTAGATCAGATACAGATTTGAAGATAAATGTTTAGAACACTATCGAAATAATTATATAGGATACTTAAGCATGATGATAATGTTGTAAAAAGTTTTGACGTTTTAGCAATTAATTTGAATTATATTAAGGGGCTGACAATATTTTTTTAGAGTTGCAGTTGGATAAATTTTTAGATGATTTCAAAATCGTACTTAACGTAAAAGCATGTAGAATCTTTGAAGATTCCTAGATAGATATTCCTATAAGTTAATCATGAGTTATGAGCCATTAATGAGTATGTCCAAAGCTTATTGCAGTATGACTAATATATTATAACAGATTTATTTTTTGACGGATAAAAGTTTCCGAAGAATTAGAAACACAGAGAAGTTGAAGTTACATTTCGAAGCTGTCGAAATTTTGTATTTTCAGACAATCATCAGTAGATCCGTCGATATATAGTTTTTACGTTATATCTTCTTCAGTGATCTAATACAATAAATATGTAGAGTATATCGAAAAGGCTAAGGCTTTTCAAACAGAAAGGCATAGAATTTCTGTTTGTCTGTCTTGCACGATAAGATTAGCGTGATCCGAGAAACGTGGGATTCTCTCCTCGACATATGCGGAATGTCTCGCGAGTAACGACCGGGATTACGATTGCGAGTTGTACGTATCGGACAGATGGGTATAATCGTGTTAAACGGCAATTGGTGATACGCGTTCTGGGAACTGATCTGGGATGTTCCACTTGACGATCCGTGCGTATTACTACTACCGTAACCCATCACCCTAATCATCTTTCAACCAATGCAAATAAGAACGAACCCCGATCGCTGCGGTAAAGACAGCGATGCGTTATCTCATCTTTAAAGATCTAGTCACGCAACACCGCGCACAATGTAATTCTCCCCATACAATTACCCCTCTCGTTTCAGGTATTTCTACGATTGATCGATCGTACAAAGTGCCGAGCGTCGTATTGCAAGCCAATTTAGTCAATTTTCCGATTTAGAACACTCTCGGAACACACACGTTTCATTTCCTTCAAGATATATTACGCTCTGAAAATTTAATCGCGAAATTAAATAATAAAAATTCAATTAATGCAAGTCACTAATTAATTCTTCTTAGATTTCGGAAAATTTGCCTTGAAATACTGTATTATACGAGTCTTCGGGTTTACACAGCGACAAATTGATATGGAGAATTTCTGACAATCGTCGTTGTAGCAAGATTTATCACAAGTATTTTGAACAAACGCGTGCTTTTTCAATATGAAAATAAAGAAATATTAATGAGGTATCAAATTCGAACGCTTATCAACTTCTTTGCCAGATATGTCTTCCTCTTACATATTTAACAAATAGGCGACATGGGTTCTTATAACGCTCGGACTGGCAGGACACTTTTTCATCTTGACTTCAAAGAAGATATATCGTGACGTGAAATGACCGTGACAGAGAACGAAAAAATTAATAACAAGGATCCAATATTTGCAACTTAACTTTTGCATCCGTTCCGTTCTGCAATTGATCGGTTATTAACAGTTTAAAGCTAAGGAAGACGTTACATAATCGATCCTAATTTGAATTTTTAGACCTCGGCGTTACGGTGAGCACGTTACGCGTGCCTGACAGTGTTTTCTTCTGCAGGCCGTGGCATCGTGACTAATTTTCTACACCGTTACAATAATAGCAAGCGCAAGCGCAAAAACGTTTTCCGTGCGTCCGGTCGACGAACTTACGCACGGCAAATAAAGTAGCGATACCATTTCACGTCGCGTGCGTCATAGTAACAGTTATTAGCAGATTTATCAAGACATCGATCGCTTTCCGTTCGCGAGTACCTTTGAAAGTATAAAAATATGAATACAAATAAGAAAGAGTATATAAAATACAAATAAGAGAGAGACTATATTCTTCGATTATTTTTATGCTTCGTCCTTATCCTAATTTTCATACGGTACTTTTTTAAAGGTATCTCTTAACACTATTAATTTCAAGCAAAATGTATATTTTAATATAGTTTTAACTCGCGCATGATGGTCTCCAAGATATTTCGACACAAGGTTGTGAAGTAATGCGAGATAATTAAATTTCCCGCAAGAAAGTTAATTTCTACCACGTTTATCAGATGCTGTCATTACCTGAGCGTCGACGATAAATATTGATTGTCTGAGAGAGTCGTCTGAATAAAGGCGCCTGTCAACGATCGCGCGGATTCAAAAGCGGAGAAGCGAGTGAGCGCAAGCGGGGAATGTGGAAGCGTCGTTTTCACATTTTGCGAAATCGCATCGCGCTCTTTAAAGGTTGATTCACCGCCGAAGAAGAAGAAGAAGAAGAAGAAGAAGACGAGATCCGCCTGCCGTTGCTCGTGCCAGCAATAACATTATCCTTCATCAATTTGTTCCACGGATTTTACTTTCACGGTGCGTCTATTCACATATCGATCGCTATTATCGATTATTCGGTCAGCACGTGCGCGTGTAAACCTGTTCACGCAGCGTTACACCAGCGTTGGAAAATTTGTTTAATTTTACACGTTCACGCGTCCCAAACGCGATCCATTCAAATCTTCATGTTAATTTAACAGAAGATGAATGTGTTAGAAAGTAACACTGCAAACATTATGTAAAAGAAATTGACGCAAAAAGTGTAATACTGATACAATTTTTTTTAAGCAAACTGTGAAAGTATATTTTTCTCAGTAAAATTAACATTTATGCTAAATTAATATGTATTTTATTCGTTCATCTTAGAATTTACGTTTTGAACATTTGATTTTCATGTTATTTATTCACTTACTCATAAATTGTATTATTTTGACACTAAGGAATGTTGAATATCAACACAAAATGTACACAAAATATTTGAATAACGTAATCATATTATACTAAATTAACAGTCGAATATATTTAATGCCAAATTAATATCAATTTAATATGAAATTTTTGTTAACAAGAACTTGAGTGAGTCTTTAACACAAATACAAAATGCTATTTATTAAAAAAAAAAAAATCATCGAAAAATTGAATCTCAACCGTCGCGAAATTGTGAAACAGTCACCAGTGAAGTGTAACAATTTATTTCGTCAATAGGTGCTTTCCATTTGGTGACACAAATCGATACAACTATCGTTCTATCTTTGTTACTCACTGAAAAGTCGAGAAAGAAGTATCACATATCTAACCGTTACTCCGGTGTGTATACGTTCTAGATAATACAAACGTCCAGCAAACAAGCACTGTTTGTCATCATTTTAACGTCGAAATAACGTCTTTAAGTCAGCTTATTTGCTGGGCGTTTCTCGATATACTTTCTTTTATTGACACTTCCACATAAAGCTATTGACTTTTCCACGGCTATCACTGCCTACTGACAATTATCACAACTATACACGGAGGGATAAAAGTCGGTAAATACATATCGGTTATCACCGAGTCAAT